CCTTGTTGCAATGGACAACGAAGTTGCTTTGTCAAATATGGTATCTGAATTTCATTCGATATTTTAAAGCCTTGTTTTGATCACTGTTCAGGTTTATAAATTATTTGCACGGACATTTTTAAGTATCCCTATTAACCTATTCAACCTTCTCCATCTGCACTCATGCAGCCTGAAGTATCGAGACAAATAATCGCCCCACCCACCGGTCGTCCTGCGCCTGCGGAGGGTCACAATTACGTCAAAGTACAATTTGGCAAATCGCCCTACATGTCCACGTATCTGGTGGCAATGGCCGTTGGAAACCTCGACCATGTTTCTACGAAGGACTCGAATGGAGTTGATATTCGCGTCTTCACGACTCCCGGGAAGAAGGCATGCGGACAGTACGCTCTAGAAGTTAGCGCAAAAACGCTGCCTTTCTATGCTAACCTTTTTGGCTGCAAATTTCCTCTGCCGAAATGTGACCTGATTGCACTTCCTGACTTCGCCATTGGTGCGATGGAAAACTGGGGTCTTATAACATTCAGGTAAGCGCGCGAATTGGTACACGACGGTCGTAATATCATTTCTATGCTTCATGTCTCGTTCAGGTGCAGCAGTTTTAGCCATACATGCTTAATATACCAGTCTGTTTATATTTATTACCGTTGATAAAACACAGTTCTTGTGGACTAAATGATCCAAATCTAAAAGCCGGACTTCATCTTGAGCTGTTGTCCTAGTTATCTGCACATGGGAAACTTGCGCAGTCTGTGAACTAACGAAAGGATCTTTTGTCCTATGGACGTCCTCTTCGGGAACAAATTAAGTGTATTATAAAAATTGTGGTGTCTGATGTCCCAATTTTTCTGAAAACGAAATTGGAGCTCTAAAAAACACAGTTAACCTTAAACATTGTCTACACCATCATCCTGTGTTTAATCAAAGTGTAAGCTCATAAGCGTCTGTCGCAGCCAGTTTTCTGTTCAACAATGACTGTTTCACTCCCACATGACCTTTGCATTTTTTAAGTAACATCAAAATCGCTATGCCCAGTAATGCATTCCTTCACTGCGTGTGTTACTTCCAGGAGTTCATGGCACTTCTTTTTTGGGCGGGTGCCAGCGATTTTCTCCCGTATGTCCATTGTGAGCATGGATACCTGTGATAACTGTTTTTTAACTAATCTAGTCGTGTACTGTAGAAGCCTTTTCTGCCCTTCATCCACGAACGCTTTAATGCCTTTTATAATTTTAACGCGCAATCCAGCCCGCAGTGCAGCCACTTCCTACTAAATTCCGAGGCTCGTGCGTGACCTTGGTGTCTGTCAAAATAACAAAATGGAATCGGAATGCTTGTACAGTGAATCAGAG